GCGGACGCCGCACGGCTTCTTCCGCGTCAACAAGACGAGCGGCGAGATTGTGGTGACACGCAGTCTGGGCGAGCGGCGGCGGACACGGCGGGACCTGGCCAGCGAGCGGCTGGAGGTTGTGGCATCTAGCGGCCGGCCGGGCAGCTTGAGTGCGCTAGCCGGCGTTGAGGTGGTGCTGGACCCATCGCTGAACGGCACCGGGCTGCCGGCGGCGGGCGGCGGCGGCGGCGGCCTGGCCGACTGGGGCGTCGGCCTGCTGGTGGCCATGCTGTTGATCGTGATGGCGTTCGGTGCCGCCTTCGTCTTCTTGCACATGCGCAACCGTCGCGTGAGCAAACCGACGATGGCCGAGCACCTGGACTCGTCGTTCGACACGGACCTGCGTGCGGCGGCGCCGGCGGCCGGCCTGCACTACCCGCCGCGCTACAGCGAGATCGGCCATCCGTTCGGCGCGGCCGGCCGGCCAGCAGGCCGCAACACGACGTCCGAGCTGTCAGAACAGTCGCACCGCTCCGCCTCGAGCGGGCGCGGCTCGGCCGAGGACGGCGACGAGGACGAGGAGATTCGCATGATCAACGAGGGCCCGCTGATGCAGCAGAAGCTGCGCCAGCTGGCCGTGCCCGACTCGCGGCTGCACGACAGCGACAGCGTGTCGGAGGCGAGTGCGCAGAACACGCAGGAGTACCTGGCGCGGCTGGGGATCGACACGACGCGCGCCGACTCGCACAAGGGCTCGCAGAGTCTGCGTGCCGACAGCGTGCACCTGCTGGATGGGCCGGGCGGCGCGGCCGAGGGCGGCGTCAGCCTCGGCGAGCTGATCTCGTCCAAGCTGACGGCGGTGGGCGCCGAGGAGGACGAGGCCATCATGGACGGCACGCGCGCCTTCGGCCTGGACGAGACGCAGCCGTCGATGACGGGCTCGCTCAGCTCGATCGTGCACAGCGAGGAGGAGTTGACCGGCAGCTACAACTGGGACTACCTGCTCAACTGGGGGCCACAGTACCAGCCGCTGGCGCACGTGTTCTCCGAGATCGCGCGGCTCAAGGACGACAGCGCGCCCAGCCCGTACGCGGTGAGCGCGGCCAAGCGGCCGCCGCCGCTGCTGACGAGTGTGGCGCCGCGCTCGGTGGCGGCGCCGCTGCCGCCCCGTTCTAGTCTCGGACTCGCGTCGATGCCGTCGCTGCCGCGCTCGCCCATCTCGCAGGAGGCGTTCGCGGCGCAGGCCATGTCGCCGTCGTTCTCGCCGGCGCTCTCGCCGCTCGACACGCGCTCGCCGTCCATGTCACCGCACGTGCCGCGTGGCCTGGCGGCGGCGGCGGCGGCGGCGGCGCACCGGCGCTCCCACCTGCTGGCCGGTGCCTCCTCCAGCTCCGAGAGTGAGCTCAGGTTGTAGCGCGCGCCGGCCGCGCGCGCGTGCCATAGCCGAGTGGGCGGGCGGCGCACGCCGCGGTGCACAGCGCCGCTCGTCGCCGCCCGTGCGCCGCTCGTCGCCGCCCACATGCCGCTCGTGTCCTCATGTGATATAGGTTTAGGTGGAGAGCGCTTCCCGCGAGCGTGTTGTGTGCCAAATGAAGAGCACTTCTGACAGTGAGACTCTGTTGTTCTGTTATGCGTCGCCGCTGCATGAGTGAATGACATCAACTGTGCTTGTGTTGCGAAGTGTCCATTTTTTCATAATTGTATTTGTCCTGCAGTAATATATCAACCGATGTGTGCCAAGCCCACATAAACATTTTGAAACGTTTTTGAGCTGAAGGGATATGTCAGGCTACTCGGCCTTTCTGATGGTACATGAATTATGATTGCAAATGTAGTATACAGCACGAATGACCGAAGGCCACGGAGGCCAGGAAACGAGTTCAAGTGGTGGATTATAAAATATCTGAATGATCGACCGCTGTAGGGCGCGGAATGTTTTTGTCCTACATGAAAGCCATGCATTGGGCCCGTAGAGAAAACCGTAATTATAGCGGGATTGAAAGGCACGGGTATCTCCTCAGCCTGAGAGCGAGAGGATTGGGTACCAGATGTTCTGAAGATCATAACACAGCTGCCATCCACAAATTGCGTTTCCCATTGACGGGAAGATCCACTGGCATTGTTTGCTACCTTCGACTCGGCTACCATCGACTGTCTGGGCACGGTAATGCCAGCAAAGAATTTCTCAGAAAACGTCACCATTTCCCCACAAACAGAAACCGAAGCCATGGAGTTGAGAGCGGTCAAGTAATTTGCAGAAATCCCAGGAAAATAGAACTTCGTTACGTAAAAGTTCAGTCAGTTTCAAATCTGGCGCATATTCACAGGCCACGGTAAGAGGCTCGTTCGTATCGTATCCAAGCTCTGCCTTGTCCAGTTTTGTGTTTAGATGCTTACTTACATGTTCGGACAAAGTTTCCCCGTCTCGCCGTCAATCGCATTGAGTAGGACTTTTGTGTTTAAAGGCATCTTTATGTGTTGGTACAAAGCTTCGCCGTCTCGCCGTCAATCGCATTGAGTGGGAGTTTTACGTTTAAATGCGCATTTATGTGCTCGTACAAAGCTTCACCGTCTCACCGTCAATCCTATTAGGTAAGAACTAACAAAATCACTCCAACATAGCACTGGTTTGGACAACTCTCATTCCATACCTCAGCGGTGCTGCCTGGGACAGGCACTGTCCAGTTTGCATCGGCCTACATGGTCATCACGTCAGCAGTACTGCTCGGAACAGGCATTGTCCAGTTTGTGCCAGCCCATGCGGTCACCAACTCAACGACGTTGAGCAGGTCATCTCGGTTCAGCCCACACCATCACCGCCACAATGGCCCTGCCCAATACGTCAGCCCGGGTCAATAGACATGTTGTCGCTGCATCAGTAGCGCTCCCCAGCACGGGCAGAGAAGCTCAGCTCGGCCCATGCCGTCGCTGCATCAGTAGCGCTCCCCAGCACGGGCAGAGAAGCTCAGCTCGGCTCACGCCGTCGCCACATCAGCAGCGCTCCCCAGTACGGGCAGAAAAGCTCAGATCGGCACATGTCGTCGCCACATCAGCAGCGCTGCTCAGCACGGGCAGAGAAGCTCATCTCGGCCATGCCGTCGCCACATCAGCAGCGCTCCCCAGCACGGGCAGAGAAGCTCAGCTCGGCCCATGCCGTCACCACATCAGCAGCGCTGCAAGGGCGGGAACGGACGGCTGGTCGGCGGGACCGGCGCCAGCGAGTGTAGATAAGATGGGAATACAGACAGGCGGCGCGGCCCTCATCAGTGTATGTACGTCCTGCTCGCGCACTTGGCTGAGCGGATAAGCTCTCCGCTACCAGCAGTGTTACCGACTGTGTGGAGGCCGTCAGCCGGTGACGAGGTCACTGCAGAGACTGCCGGCATTCCACGCTAAGCTGCCCACTCTGTGCCGCGAACAGATCAGCGATGATGCAACCGTAAGTGACCGAGTCACCGGTGTTTTGCAAAATCCCGAGTAATGTCGGCTTACTTGCGAGTATACATTGTGCAAGAAAATCCAGTTCACTACTGCATAGGTTTTATCGCGCAAGGCTAAACACGACAAACTGTGTCCCACATAGCCGTGTGAACTATTGTTATACATTGTTGTTTTTGCACCTTGTGAAACGGTATTGACCTATCATCTTAATGATATGTGATCTACGAAAGGCCTTGCAATTACAAGGTAGTTGCCCCGAAAATATATCAGACATCGACTAGATTGCAATCAGGTGATCTACATCATCTGAGCCCTCGTCCAGCGACATTACCCAGCAGACCTCGAATACAGCAGACCATTTGCATGGCCGTTGGACATTCGAGAACAAGTGATTCTTGTAGCGTGGCTTACATTATTACCAACCCGGTGTTTATAACTAATACACTTAAAACTCTCCGAACAACTTAACCCGGCCCACTCTGCGGCGACTCGGTGTGGCCTCACACAGCGTGGAGGCAGCCCTCTCGCCAGCTGCCTGTATTTCAGCTGGTCTCTGCTGCTCCTGGCGACGGCGGGCTGGCTGGCGACCCCCGGCGGCGCCGCAGCCGGCGACTGGGAGGCGTTCAAGCTGCAGTTCGGCAGGGTGTATTCGACGGCGCAGGAGCAGCTGCGCAGGCAGGTGTTCGAGCGCAACCTGGAGATCATCAGCCGCCACAACGCCCAGTTTGACGCTGGCAGGAGCTCGTATCGTCTGGCGGTGAACCAGTTCGCCGATCTGACCAGCGAGGAGTTCGGCCGGCAGGTGCTCCTTCCGGTGAGGAATGGCGCAGCTGATGCTGTGGTGACGCGTTTGTCGACGGGTGCCGACGGGTGATGCCAGGTTAATATCATGTCGGGGCGCCTGTTGTGACGGTATCTGACCTTAAAGGGTGCCCAGCAGTTGATTAAACGGTTTTGAATGCAGTTAATCAAAATATATGTTATTTTAGTTCTAATGAAGCTATGTTCTCAATTGGAGTTTACCGCATTTCCATTAGTGTTATTGTTCAGCGTCTAGCAAGTGACTGTTTACCAAGATGTGTTTGGTCTTGCTTTTTCAAATAATGTTAGCGACTCACAGCCAAAAAATGGTGCCTCTAAATCGATTTCCGGAACGAAATAATTGCAAATGCTGTGAGAGGTTGAGCACAATCGTGTCAATTATTGTTCAACGCCCCAGCAGAACTCACAACCAAAGCAATATACTTCAATGTTTGAACATTCATTGGCCGGGCAGAACTCTTCCGTGTTCCGAGTTCATCCCAAATTTTCGCGATTACATCACCGGTAGTAAAAACTCACGGCCTGGTCATGCTTCCACGACACCTGCAGGTGTCCCACGCCTTCGCTTTCCCTACCAGCGCTGAGGGCTCGCACCGCCATCTCCGCAGACGGCAGCGCCACTGCCAGCGAACGGCTCCGCCACCGCGGGGCCGGCTGGCCTGCGCGGGACCGGCGGACCGGGCGGACCTCACCGGACCGCGCCGGACCAGTTCGACTGGCGGCAACACGGCGTGCCGATCCACATCAGGGACCAGGGCATGTCGGGCGGCTGGACGATCCCGCCCGTGTCAGCCGTGGAGAGCGGCCTGGTGATCAGCGGCGGTCAGCTGGTCTCGCTCAGCCGTCAGAACCTGCTCGACTGTGTGTCGCCGCCGTCGATGGCCGGCGCGCTCGAGTACGTGCACGAGCACGGTCTGGCGTCCGAGGCCGACTACCCGACCACCGGCGGTCAGGGCACGTGTCGGCAGAACGTGCCGGCCGCCGCCGCCTTGGATCAGGTGCACCAGGTGACGAGCGGTGACGAGGTCGGCCTGGCCGCCGGCCTCCTTCAGAACCCGGTCGCCGTCCTCATCAACGCCGGACTCATCTCGTTCCAGGTGGGCTTCAGTCCCAGCGTGGTAGGTGTTTCCAGGCGGGGAGGGGGCGGCGAGACCGGAGGAGGGCGTGGTCACATGGGTCCTCTGTGTAGCAGTTGGTTTGGGTCAGCTGTGCAGCAGTTATTTGGGGGTGCGAGATCGGAGGAGGGCGTGGTCACGTGGGTCCTCTGTGTAGCAGTTGTTTGGGCCAGCTGTGCAGCAGTTGTTTGGGGGTGCGAGATCGGAGGAAAGCATGACGACGTGGGTCTTCTGTGCAGCAGTTGGTTTCGCTGTGTGTGGGTGTGAGATCACGTCGGTATTTTGCCGGTGTCAATTTAGATCGTGTGCGCACCGCGATGGAAAGGCTTTGACTGACCGTGGTCACCGAGAAAGCGTCTGCCACAGATTTGCTGCGTCGGTCGTATGTCCTTACCGATGCCGGGCTCTACCACACATACGGACTACTACCGGATACCTCAAGTAAATGTGTGAAAGCCTTAGGACATCAGTGTCAGGTCCACGTGATATTTCGGCCGACGCTTTACACCCAAGAATCTAACCCATCACGTGCTCAATTCTTTAATTTGTGAAAGAGCACAGTAACACGCAGTTAGTCACAGTCACAGAACAGGCTGAACCTCCACGGCGTTGGGAAACCGAACGTAATCTGATCCGTGCCTCGCCATACAGCGCCTGGGCTTATTTTCCTGGGCGCAAATTTTCCGAAGTTGAAAGGGAATGTGCAGGACCAACACGTACGGAATGTGCAGTGAAATTTTCCGAAGTGAGGAAGGGTGTCGGCCCTGAAAGACGGCTGTCCTGTCAATCGTCTGCCCTGCCTCATCCGGAAGGCACGTACCTCATTCAGCGCCTCATCCGGAAGGCACGTAAAGCCCCTTCAACTGGGGAGGGTGTGCAGCGGCAGCTCCAGCCGGAGCCATGAGTTGGCCCCAAGGCCGGCCTGGTGGGTGTCCCGAGCGTATGCACATACCGAGGCTTGGATCCTTGAGAGGCGCAAGTCACGGTGGTGACGACAGATCTCGATGGCATCAACACTGTTTCATACCACATCACCGCCTGGGTCTCTCCATGTCACAGCACAGACCTCGATGGCATCAACACTGCTCCACGCCACATCACCGCCTGCGTCTGTCCAGGTCATAGCGCAGACATCGATGGCATCAACACGGTTCCACACCACATCACCGCCTGCGTCTCTCCATGCCAGAGCGCAGTTCAAAAATGCTCCATCGTCACGAAAGGATCTCTGTCCGAACAAAGCGTACACGCAAACAAGCCCCTGCCCACTCCCGATAGGCCACTGACATCGTCCAGAAAGCATCCCTTGCCCGCTGCCTTCGGGTGTCCTGCAGCGGTGGAGGTCCATCGCCGCTGACATGAGCCGTGCCTGCTGCAGCTCTACTCCTCCGGCATCTACGACGACCCGCGGTGCACGGCGTCGGGGGTTGACCACGCCGTCCTCCTGGTGGGCTACGGCACGGCGTCCGGCACCGCCTTCTGAACGCTGGCCAACTCCTGGGGCACGTCCTGGGGCGAGGCCGGCTTCATGCGCATGAAGCGGGGCGACAACATGTGTGGCAGTCGCCTCCTACGCAGCCTACCCCACCGGCGTGCATGCCGCCTGACCGGCTCGCGTGCGGCGCCGAGACGTGGGAGAGCCGGACGTGTGACGTGCGCTGGGGACGTGCGTGACCTGTAAGAGCGATGGCGTGAGACGTCTCAGTGTTCTCTGTTCAAAGGGATGAATCGTGAGGTTCGAGCCGCTGGGCACTGATACGCGCCGACCGAAACCGCGCGTCCATGGAGAGTGCAGACGATGAAGCGTAGAGGGCAGCCTGCAGCCACCTGTAAGACCAGGGAAGTGTACTGCGGCGTGTGAAGACCAGACGTGTGCATACAATTTGGATGTGGTTCGAGGTGACTCTGAAATCATGCAGACTTCGGTTGAGTTCAAGTGCTACAGCATGACGCAAAAATCATCGTTTGCTGTACCAAGCTTATATGAAGTCACAATAAAGAGCCGCACAAGTCCAACAAGCATGTGAAAATGATATGCGCATCAGGCATTATGAATACCATTTCCAGGACACCTACACAGCAATGGCCCATCTCACCCGACTGCAATCGGCGCACTGATTCCAGGACACCTACACAGCAATGGCTCATCTCACCCGACTGCAATCGGCGCTCTGATTCCAGGACACCTACACAGCAATGGCTCATCTCACCCGACTGCAATCGGCGCACTGATTCCAGGACACCTACACAGCAATGGCTCATCTCACCCGACTGCAATCGGCGCACTGATTCACCACAAAGTTTATTGCATCGTGATTGCAAAGTAGCCCGCACATCGTATGGTTCTCGGAAAAATGCCCACGTCGAACCGTTCGCTGCGTCTTTCCTAATCGCAAAGTCACGCCTGAATTAACTCGTCTTCCCTGGAGGTAGTTAGCATACGCATTCCAGGCGAGCTTTCATGCATCTCTCGCCATAAATTGGTGACCTTCCCAGTTAAATATCCGTCCCAGTGCTTTAGAAAAATTAGAAAATTGCAGGTTCCCGGAGCAACATTGCGTCTAGTGCTGAGCGGACTGGACTCAAAGTCGCATTCCCAACACATTTAGCGCAAAAGTGTGACATGGGAGCGATCTGAGTTAAATAGGTACTAAGGCCTCGTGGGACCTTTCAAGGTCATTGACCTGCCCACAAGTATCTGTTCCATGGGAGCTACCACTTTAGATGCATTTCATGCCTAAGAATTGCACTTTCTTACATATTTAAAAACAAACGCTTCGAAAGCAACAACAGAAATTCATTTTCGTCATTATCACTCTGCAAGTCTCGAGAAACTTACACAGCGCCGTGGTCTCATTTGGGATCAAAGGTATCGATTATTCCCGCCATGAATCAACCGTCATGTAAACAAAACTGCACGGCGTCGTCCATTGAGTTTTCATGGGCTTGGAAAATTTCACTGGGTAGCAACGCGTTCTCTGTTGACGCGCGTTTGTCATAAATGTCCGACAACCTCGGGATATCTACTCGTGGCGCCGTAAAGGTCACCGACGTCGCTCTGATGAAAATGGACTCTGTGAGACTTATATTATTACTAACCGCTGCTAATTAGCCTTGGAATGATCCGCAGGGGCGTCCTGAAGTAAACGCTTGCTTGGATCCTATTCTTTTAGGCCCAACAGTTCACAAACATTTGTGGTAAGAACTTCGGAAGGAGGTCATTTGTTCACTTTTCCTCTGAAAATCGATTGCTCTGTAGGCGCAGGAGACATAAGACCCCTTTCTCCCAGTGGAGATCTCCTTAAGACGTGCGGATGCCTCGGGAGACGACCTGGCTGGAGGTCAACACTCTCGGAGAAAGTACACTTGAAAAAAATCAGTGGAGAAATACTTGGGTCATGCAACCTTTGTGCGACCTGTTATTTTGTCTGAGCTGCTGAAAGTAGTTTGCACGGGAGCCGGTCCACGACCTGACATGCCACAAATGACGTCACGGTGACAGAAGCCTGTTAGCTATTTCTGGCATCCTGAAGCACTTTACAAGCTCTTTCAGATATATGGCTGGCCTAGCCGACACAAACAGCGCGGAAAGATAATTTTACAAAGGTTATTTGAAAGTGTAAAAAATCTCCCCTAAAATGTCAAAATGCCACACAAACATGAGCAGCAATTGCAGTTCGTTATCTACTGACGCCACGCTAAGGCTCTCTGAAAGTGCTGAAAGTGGAAAGCCGGCATGATGCCGCCTGGACCTACCGAAAGGCGGCAAGACCTAAAGCATATTCTCGTCTTGCTGATCACACTCGACAAAATGTACATTTCGAAACGGAATTTACACACTTCTGACACATTCTGACAATAAAAAAATAAGCGGACCCGTACCCAAGTTAAACCCTTATATTCCATTCTGAAGATTCTTGGGTGTCTGTGCGCCATCCGAGGTAAAGTTATTTCCCGAACTCTCCTTTCCATTATTACAATGTCCAAAAAGATCTGAACAACGTTGGGATGTTTTCCACATGTGGCAACAAGCGTAGCCTCCTGAAGGAGCAGTTACTTGACAGTCAGCCCGATAATTAGTAAAAGGGCGCTTTGGCTCGCCTGGAAGACAGGAACGCACTGTCCTTGTGTGCAGACTGGGCGCGTTTAAGGCTTTACTTTCTTGCGTATTAAAAAGAAGCAAGAGAAGCGTTGTTTTCACCACTATCGCTCAGCAAGTGTAGATAAATATTCACAGCTGCGTGGCCTAACTCGGAATCAAATCTATCGATAGTCCCCGCAATGAAACAACCGTCACGTAATAGAGGTGGGCGGCATTGTCCCTCGAGTTTTTTGTTCATGGACTCGGGGAGTTTGATTGACTTACAGCGCGTTTACTGTTTACGTGTATTTCGTTCCGTACCTCACCTTTAATATGTAAATGCTTAATGAGCCAAGGGCATCTAGAACTGTGACAAGGAGAACACTGACAGAACGACTTTAGGAGGAAGACCGCCGCCTTTGCAAAAATGAAGGATATGTTTCTATAATAACAAAATTGTGTTACAAACGCTTTAATTTGCTATTGCACGTCTTTACCTATACGTTGGGAGCTTTATCGCTGGAAATATTGTTTTATTTTGCGGTTTAAGGCGTCTAAACATAGCGATAGTGATGTGTCATGCTTCACAGCAGACTCCAAACAATAGGGTTTCAAACGGAAGCTTTATTTTCAGGTTTTCTTCACTTCAAGTCATTGTCCAGCGGGTAAAATCACGCTTGCAGAGCCGACAGTACGCTCGTTCTTAGCAAGTAGTTTTGTGACTCGAAGCAAATGGTATTTCCGACAAATGTGTATCAGGAGATGACAGCTACATAACACTCTGCATAAGCATGCTCAAAACCATTATGTCATGAACGTCAGGGATGAACAGTGCTTAAATTGCAGATGGTTTGGTGAGTTAACATATGCACTTGTCACGGAAGCTGCTAACAAAACAAAGCGCCACAAAGCTGCGCTACAGGCACTGGTGGTACCGTTCCACAAAAGTACTGTTTCGTGAAGAAACTTGTCGTGGCTATAACTTAACAGGTCTGCGACTGTCTTGGGCAGGTGGAACTATCACCATCTTATCACAATCAAGTCGTTATTTCAATGTTACCGCACACAATCAACTGCGTTCAGAGAAAAGGGTACTTCTCTTCAGGAAGAGCAACCAGCTTGCCCCTAACGTAGTGTTTGCACACAAGGCGGGGACAGCAGTCTGGAAATGCCTTCCTGCGGTCTCCCACGGCCTCTCTGCAAAACAGATTGTCCGCCTTCAGCTTCTGGAAGTCCACCCGCCTGCCCACCTGGGGGCACCTGCAAAAAGAAGAAAATTATGTGTCATTTCCCACAGCTGCCTCTCTGAGACCAAAATCCTAGTCGCTCAGAGCATCAAGCCACTCCCAGGGCCGATTTTGCTTTTGGAGTATGCTTGAAATGTAAACTGACACCTAAACACTAAACTCTGCAAGCCTTCTAACGCTTGCTACACAGCTCGAACAAACACTATTGAGATGGACTGTCTCGTCGTAGTCGATGTGCTTGAGGGTGCTCACCGGAAGCGGTCGATGTAGAGAGTACCGTTCTCCTTGATGCAGTGGCTCTGCTTGCAGCCCGAGTTACGGCTGCTCCACACAGCACCCACGGGGAATCTCTTGCCGATCTGGTAGTCTTGGCACTTATCACCTGAAAGCAGACCAGTGCCACAGTCAGACCATGTCACCGGTCGCCTCGCCACCCCCACCTTGACGCGTAACGTAAACCAACAGATCGTCGCACAAGATCGCTGCGTAACAGCGGCCGATCGTAAGCAATCTCGTGCCTCTTGTGCAGTCCCGTGATTTTTAGCCAAAGTCTCGTGCGGCCAATAGCGGTGGCGCATGCACGCCCTGCGTTTCAAACTGACCGGCATTGAAGCGTTACTGTATCCCGGTAGGAGTCCGTTACAAAAACTGAACCATCACGCAACAACATTGCGGAACAGCAAAGCGAAGAATATCATGCCGCCGATAGCTGATCATACCTTGGTGATACTATTCTGCTATAGTTACATGATTACGAAGCAGACGACAAATTGCTGAGATGTCTTGAACTGTTGACGTGTGCTTTAGTGGGGCCCGATTTATAACTTCCCTATGCAAATAGGCAGCTGACGCTGCATCCGAACGCTGCAGCACTCACCTTTTCCAACGGGGAACTTGACGAACCTCGGGTACTGTTGAGCCAAGCAGAGCTGCAGCCCCGAGAACCAGCAGAACTGCGAACTTGATCATGCTGGCCGACGTTGTGGTCTGTGGTGCTGTGCTGCTATGGCGGCTGTGCGCCGTTGCTCGGGCCGTCTGTACCTCTCTCGCCGCTGGCACGCCGGTTATATAGCGGCGGCGGAGGGCGTGCGGGCGCGCGTGCGGCGTGCGCCCACTCCACCGCCGGGGGCGTTGTTCAGACAGGGAATCTCCTCG